GGGCTGCCCGTGGGACTACAGGATGCCTAGTGGCTTAGCAGTACCCATGGTCTCTGCCCACTAGATACGGGTAGATATCTTTTACCTCGCCTTCCTTCTCTAGTTGTGGCAGCCAGACATTTGCAAAAGCCCCAAGAGGCAACACTGCCTCCTGCCTCAGGTGAAAATCACTCCTCTATGCTAAGCCCTTCTTATACTGACTATATAATCTCCCATCATTAAATAGCCTTCAGAAATATAACTGTAATGGCTATAACACATTTCATTGAATAATAAATTAGTAGTACATTTAAGATATTACTTTTGCTTATTTTATGAAGAAAAATGTATATTCAAGAATGCAAAACAATCAGGTTCTTTGAAATCCACTCATTTGTGTGTGTGTGTGTGTGTGTGTGTGTGTGTGTCTGGCAAGTACGCATGCCCTATGGTAATAAACTAAAAGACAAAGAATAATGATGTATAATATGTATATTATGGGACTTTTTGTGTGCATTGTATTGAATAAGTGTGATTTCAGACTATTAACAATAATGAGTAGAGACATGGCTTCATTTTTGTTTTTTTAAATGAGAGGAAGTATCATGTAAAACTATGATCCAAGAACTGTTACTGCTTTTCTTCTACATTTCCACAGAATAAGTTTACATTTAAATACCGAACTTAAATACTGAATCAAAATTCTTTTGTTGTAGAAGCTCTTCATAAACCCTAAGTAGGTGACTCATTGTTAGGAGGTAATACTCATCTCCTGCTAGTCACTCATTAGCAAGACTGCACTGGCATTGGTAGAATCATCACCAAGAATTGTTCCTTTCCACCGTAGCATCTTCTTCCAGCACCAAGAATTGAGGGTGTTTTGAGGTCCCAGAGAGTAGCAGAGAATAATGCCATACGCGTTTGGAATAAGCATGATGGCAATGACAATGATAATAGCTAAGATTTATCGAATAATTATTCTTTAGCAGACATCATTCAATCGTTTCACATATATCCTCTCTCATTTACTGTCTCCACCCACCCTATGAAGGGTGTACTATTACTAAGATAATACGATTCCATGGGGTGCTGAGACTTACAGACCTGATATAAATTGCCTAAGACCACACAGCTAATGAGTAGCAGAGTTCAAACCCAGCTTATCTGAATCCAAAAGTCACATCTTTCAGAGTTTAAATCGACTGTAAAATTCCCCAATAGATAGCGTTAGCACCATCGACACACATAGTCAGGTGATTTTCTGCCATGGGGGCTGCCCGTGGGACTACAGGATGCCTAGTGGCTTAGCAGTACCCATGGTCTCTGCCCACTAGATACGGGTAGATATCTTTTACCTCGCCTTCCTTCTCTAGTTGTGGCAGCCAGACATTTGCAAAAGCCCCAAGAGGCAACACTGCCTCCTGCCTCAGGTGAAAATCACTCCTCTATGCTAAGCCCTTCTTATACTGACTATATAATCTCCCATCATTAAATAGCCTTCAGAAATATAACTGTAATGGCTATAACACATTTCATTGAATAATAAATTAGTAGTACATTTAAGATATTACTTTTGCTTATTTTATGAAGAAAAATGTATATTCAAGAATGCAAAACAATCAGGTTCTTTGAAATCCACTCATTTGGTGTACATAAGGTATAAAGGTAAGCTTCGTCAATAAAACAATAAGCAGAAGATGATCTACATCACAAACATTAACTTCATCTTTTAAAATGTGCCACCAGTTTTCATCTGGCATACTTCAGAAGATAAAATGAAGGAGACTAATGTCAAAAACAAATTTCTTTAATAGTGAAAGAGTTTATTTGGTTATTGTACACAGATGTGACCTAAGTCAACAATCAAATAAAATATAACTGCATGCATAGATCTGAAATAAAAATAAATTCATTATTCAAATTTTTTGAAATTCAGAATTCTATTATTTCCCTAAAATGTAAAATAAATTGAAATTTACTAAAGCTTTGGTCTCATTTCTGTTTCTTTTAAAATAGATGCCTTAAACATATGTTAAACCATGTATTTTGCTCTTTCTGCCTACATCATTGACTAGATATGTAAGTGCCTACTGCTGTGTTAGCTACTTTAGGAAAGATATAAAAATTAAGGTCTGCATTCCTGAGGAAATTATTTTAGAAACAAGTCAAACATACACAAAAGCCCCAAGAATACGAAAAGACAATGTAAAGCAACTAGTATTTTGTATAATTCATATCAAAGTAAAATACACACCTACATACACACACACCAAATTTAAGGAAGAGAGTAAAATTCATTTCTTAGGCATGTTCCATATAAATGATTTGTCACAAATTTCGCATGTTAAGAGTTCACATGAAAAATCACAGTAGCACAGTCCAGAAGGAAAATAAATCAGAAAAAAGATGGTGTCTAAGTTGTAAATTTTTTCATATTTGAGGGAGATGAAGTGTGGTTTTGGTTAAAACGAAACACACTCTGTCCTCATGAATTTCAACTACTTTTTTTATTTCTTTTTATCACAAAATATTAGCTTTCACAAATTCTATAAAGTTTTTGTTTGTTTCTTTAGAGAGAGAGATTTTTGCTATAGGGCATGTGCACTCGCCACAGACACAGAGAGAATCAGAGAGAAAGCAAGAAATCAACACTGCCCCCACCCCCCGGCCTCCCAGGAAAGGGGATGGTCACACTTTAATCCCTTCTCCCCCATTCTCCTTTCAGGATTTTGGGCACATCTGCACATGCACCCAGTGTGAGTTTCAAGCCACCTGGTCTGAGACCTGAACCACGGTCGGCTATGTGGGAATCCAGCACCACAACTACTATACCACCTGCTGACCCCTAAATTCCATAAACTTTTAAACTAATTGTGTCATCTTACATTTACCAATAAATGCTTTGTCTATTACTATAAAAATGAAATTAAAAATATATCTGGCTAAATAAACACAAAAGAGAACAGTAGGTTTTGTTGGGTTTATAGACAATGATACATATTTAAGTGATCGTACATTCTTAACCTTTTTCTTGGGTGCAATTTGGAAGTTACTTGCCTTTTAATGCATGTATTGGACATCATGATCTTAATCCAAGTGAGTAGCATCACGACAAAGTTATCTAACACACACATGTTGCTTAGGGCTGCAATGTTACCATAGTTACCACCAGATCAAACATCTCAGGAAAAGAGAGCCAGTAAGTCTTTCACTGTGCATAAATTCAGCACTCTTGTTGGGTCACAAGCCTTCATTTTTCTTCATTTGGGGGCTTTTCCAATTGGTTTTGTGTTGTTTCTTCATCTTTCTTTTTCACATCTGAAAAATATAATGTTCCATTCATATATAAAATGTATTAAAACATATTTTATATCATATTGACATAAAACAGTTGCTTTTTCCTTTATCTACTCTGATCATTTTCTACTTGATTATTCTGCCCTCAATCCAGATTCAGAAATGTAAAAAGAAGAAATTAAATTCTCCTAATCAAATTTTTCTCCTATTCTACAGTTATTAAGTGCCAGTTTTCCAAGGTATTATTACAATCCTCACAAGTTAGTAAACACAAACAGGGTTAGTGACTTGCTCAAAATCACAGAGCTTGTAAACGGCAAGTCATAATTTGGACGCAGCCAATGACTCCATGGTCCACATCCCTCACCATCTTCCTGTGCTGGATAACATTGTCTTCAGCTTCTTCACACTTTGTACTCCATTTGCTCTTACAAAACAGTCTCATCATGGGCGAGGAAATAACCAAAGCCATCAGGTAAGAGTTTCCTCCATTTTCTGCCATAAAATGTCTGAAACACTCTATGATCTCTGCTTACTCTTTCTGCTCTGTGTCCTGTCACAATGGAAGATGTAATCTCAGCACTGGTTATATAATTTGTTGGGGCCCAGCGCAAAATGAAATGTAGCACTCTTGTTAAAAAAAACTATTAAAAAAATAAATAAATTCAAGACAGCAACAGTAGAGTATTAAACCAAGTGTGAATCTCTCCTGAGTTTGGGGCCCTGCGCATCAGCTCTGGTCTCACACTTTGGAGCTGGCCTTGGTGCTGCTCTTACTATCTACTTCCAATGACCTTATGATCCTGGATCCAATCCATTTCTGCCTGATTAGGAAGCTGATTCATGATCATTTTCCCCTTCTCTCCACTTCATCTGACTTTCCCTTTCTCCTAGCTCCTTCATTTCCTAGAATCACTATCATGTTCAAACTAAGAAAAGCTCTCAGGAATACGAAAAGACAATGTAAAGCAACTAGTATTTTGTATAATTCATATCAAAGTAAAATACACACCTACATACACACACACCAAATTTAAGGAAGAGAGTAAAATTCATTTCTTAGGCATGTTCCATATAAATGATTTGTCACAAATTTCGCATGTTAAGAGTTCACATGAAAAATCACAGTAGCACAGTCCAGAAGGAAAATAAATCAGAAAAAAGATGGTGTCTAAGTTGTAAATTTTTTCATATTTGAGGGAGATGAAGTGTGGTTTTGGTTAAAACGAAACACACTCTGTCCTCATGAATTTCAACTACTTTTTTTATTTCTTTTTATCACAAAATATTAGCTTTCACAAATTCTATAAAGTTTTTGTTTGTTTCTTTAGAGAGAGAGATTTTTGCTATAGGGCATGTGCACTCGCCACAGACACAGAGAGAATCAGAGAGAAAGCAAGAAATCAACACTGCCCCCACCCCCCGGCCTCCCAGGAAAGGGGATGGTCACACTTTAATCCCTTCTCCCCCATTCTCCTTTCAGGATTTTGGGCACATCTGCACATGCACCCAGTGTGAGTTTCAAGCCACCTGGTCTGAGACCTGAACCACGGTCGGCTATGTGGGAATCCAGCACCACAACTACTATACCACCTGCTGACCCCTAAATTCCATAAACTTTTAAACTAATTGTGTCATCTTACATTTACCAATAAATGCTTTGTCTATTACTATAAAAATGAAATTAAAAATATATCTGGCTAAATAAACACAAAAGAGAACAGTAGGTTTTGTTGGGTTTATAGACAATGATACATATTTAAGTGATCGTACATTCTTAACCTTTTTCTTGGGTGCAATTTGGAAGTTACTTGCCTTTTAATGCATGTATTGGACATCATGATCTTAATCCAAGTGAGTAGCATCACGACAAAGTTATCTAACACACACATGTTGCTTAGGGCTGCAATGTTACCATAGTTACCACCAGATCAAACATCTCAGGAAAAGAGAGCCAGTAAGTCTTTCACTGTGCATAAATTCAGCACTCTTGTTGGGTCACAAGCCTTCATTTTTCTTCATTTGGGGGCTTTTCCAATTGGTTTTGTGTTGTTTCTTCATCTTTCTTTTTCACATCTGAAAAATATAATGTTCCATTCATATATAAAATGTATTAAAACATATTTTATATCATATTGACATAAAACAGTTGCTTTTTCCTTTATCTACTCTGATCATTTTCTACTTGATTATTCTGCCCTCAATCCAGATTCAGAAATGTAAAAAGAAGAAATTAAATTCTCCTAATCAAATTTTTCTCCTATTCTACAGTTATTAAGTGCCAGTTTTCCAAGGTATTATTACAATCCTCACAAGTTAGTAAACACAAACAGGGTTAGTGACTTGCTCAAAATCACAGAGCTTGTAAACGGCAAGTCATAATTTGGACGCAGCCAATGACTCCATGGTCCACATCCCTCACCATCTTCCTGTGCTGGATAACATTGTCTTCAGCTTCTTCACACTTTGTACTCCATTTGCTCTTACAAAACAGTCTCATCATGGGCGAGGAAATAACCAAAGCCATCAGGTAAGAGTTTCCTCCATTTTCTGCCATAAAATGTCTGAAACACTCTATGATCTCTGCTTACTCTTTCTGCTCTGTGTCCTGTCACAATGGAAGATGTAATCTCAGCACTGGTTATATAATTTGTTGGGGCCCAGCGCAAAATGAAATGTAGCACTCTTGTTAAAAAAAACTATTAAAAAAATAAATAAATTCAAGACAGCAACAGTAGAGTATTAAACCAAGTGTGAATCTCTCCTGAGTTTGGGGCCCTGCGCATCAGCTCTGGTCTCACACTTTGGAGCTGGCCTTGGTGCTGCTCTTACTATCTACTTCCAATGACCTTATGATCCTGGATCCAATCCATTTCTGCCTGATTAGGAAGCTGATTCATGATCATTTTCCCCTTCTCTCCACTTCATCTGACTTTCCCTTTCTCCTAGCTCCTTCATTTCCTAGAATCACTATCATGTTCAAACTAAGAAAAGCTCTCAGGTTCTTCCAGGTAGTGACCTCTTTTTTTTTTTTTTTTAATCCACAAAATGTACCATCTTTTGCTGTCTCCATTTTAAAATGAAACTCTTTAAATAAGCCTCTGCCACTCTCCGCAAATTTCTCCAATTATAGTCACCAGTGGTATCTTTGAAGATAAATTTGATGGACTCTATTTAACTTTCATTTATTAAATATTCATGAAGCATGTACTATATACCAAGCATTCTGGGTCACAGGGAACATAAGGTGAGGGATAGGATAATAAAAAATAGGATAATAAAAAATAAAAATAAAAAAGAAGTTGGATCAGCCCTGTAGCCTAGTGGTTAAAGGAGCAAGAGCCCACATGGCTGACCATGTTTTGAATCCCAGCTCTGGTAGCTTGAAAAAACATGTCAGGGATATATGTGTGTGTATCTGTGTGTGTGTGTGTGTGTGTGTGCTCCAAATCCAGAGATGGGTGTGTGTGTGTGCATCCCAAATCCAGAGAGGATGGAGAAGAAGGAACTGCAATGTGACCATGCCTCATCATGAGTGCTTTCTCTGTATTCCTCTGTATCTCTCTCTCTCTCTTGCATGCATGACCTCTAGCAATTTAAAGGAGAAAGATGAGGAGGAGAAGAAAGAGAAAGAGAAGTCAAATGTAAGGTATGTGAGGAACAAAAAGTGCTAATGAGGACATTTTAATGAAAAGATGTAGAATAGGAATTGTCAAGAAGTCTTGGGGCCAAGAGCTTGCAATTTTAGATAGGGTTTGCTGGGAACACTTTTCTTAGAAGGAGGTATCTGAGTAAAAGACCTGATAGTAGAGAGAACGGGACAGGATGGTCAAAGATAGCAACATGGAAAAAGGAACTTCAGATAGGACACTATGGAGGGAAAAAGGGTGCAAGACGGGATTAGAGAGGTTCCACGAAATGAGATCTTATAGGTTAAAATGGCAGATTTATGGACCAGTTTTAAAGTAGACCTCACAGTATTTGCTGATGGCTGGAATAAAGAATGCAAGAGAAAAAAAGACATAAGAATGATTCAGATACTTTTGACTATAGCAACCAGAAATATAAAGCCACCATTCCCTGGTATGGGGAAGACACATAAAAGCAGCTGTCAGGGAAAGCCATGTGGCTTCCAGTATGACAGTCCATTTCATTGTGGACTGTACCACCTCATCTACTTATTTTGTCAGGTGGTGAGAGCACTTAAAATCAACTCTCAGCAATTTTCGAGTATAAAATATATGGTACATACTATAGTCACCACAGTGTACAATAGCTCTCTTGAATTTTTTCCTCTTAAGTAACTGCAATTTTATATCCTTTGACTAACATTTCTCTGACTCCCCAGTGCCACCAAGTCCCTGATAAACAACGTTCTATTCTGTGGTTTTATTAGTGATTTCTTTTTAAGTTCCACATACAAGTGAGGTCATATGGTATTTTTCTTTCTGTGCCTGACTTATTTCACTTAACATAATATCCACCATCCTTTTAGATCTTCTTTAACATATGGTTATACATGAATTCATTTTTATCATTTTCAGTTTCTTCACTGATGCCCTTGAATTTATTTCAAAATGATTTAAAGAAACATAAAAACAGAAACAATCTCCCTCCAGATAATGGCTCTCTAGCGACCACAATAAAGTGGAAAAGAGTACAAACTCTCTTACAGTGTATTATTCTCTTTTGCCTAACTAAGCAATAATAATAACAGTTAATTAAGGTTTTGTATCTGTGTTTAAGGTGTATAAGCTATTATTAGGCTTTTTATGCTAACAAGTAATTATCTTCTCTACCTCATGAGTTTAGGATGGACCCTTCAACAGAAACATCATGTTCTGATAGTCATACTACATTTTCAACTTAAAAGGCCAAAATATTGTATGTATTTTTCTTCCTTTATTTTATCTCTTCTATCTTTTCTTTCTTATAATATTATATGTGCATGTGTACCTTTTACTCTTACTTGCAATGTCCCATATACAATAGTCTTTTCTTTTTTTTCTAAAAGTCTTTGCCTTAGGCTGTGTATGCTTGCTGGAGAGAGAGAGACACAGACACAATGAGAGGAAATGTGAGAAATCACCCCCCAGAAGGGTTGTCCACACAACAATCCTATTCTCTTCCTGGGATTATGCGACTGGTGTGATTTTTCAATTCATCAGGTCCAAGACTTGAACCATGGTCAGTCATGTGGGAGTCCAGGGACGTAACCACTACACCATCTGCTGGTCCCAGAAGTGCAATAGTTTTTAGAAAAAGATGAGGTAACTATGGGACTCGAAGATCTGTCTTCAGCTCCTGGCCTACAAAGATTTAATCACTTTACAGACATTGAACAAAAACCATTGCAGATTTACCAGGTAGTAAATAAACTCCTGAGGCAAAGAACCAAAGGCTCTCTTCTTGGGCTCCCATGAATGGGTAACATGTGCTGCAGCTCTAGGCTATCTCTTGCCTCGTTGCTGCCAGGAAAATATTTCTAGACATGCACCAGAATCCACCTTAGCGAATAAGTGAGACACGACACACAGGTATTTTGGTAGTAGTTTGGAACTGAAATTATCTTTTATCTCTCTTTCAAAACTTTGATTCATGTATTTCTTATCTCTATTTTTATATAAAGAGACTCTTTTCACTTTTTATTAGAAGTATTCTTATATTAACTTTTATAAGAGTAAACTCTGGAAGCTATATAAACTGCTCAAGGGGTCTTTAAAAAGTTCACAGAAAATACATATTGCAAGAGAACTTCACATGAATTTTAGAGTTTTCTGGCATCAAAATAAAGTCCCCTCTTATGTTCACAATGGAAGAAAGATTCAATATTTTACTTCATTATTAAACAGCTCTGTTTTTTTTCAATTCACCTTTTTTCTCTGGTTGAAGAATAACCACCTTTATATAAGGATTCACTTTAAAGGTCCCATATCTATTTAATAGTAAACTTCTTCCTAGATATGAGAAGTAGAATGACATGAAGAATGCTATTATATAATGAAGCAGAAACTCCTAAAGTGATCCATCAATAGATGGCAGAAAGAAAATTGCTTTATTTCTGAGTTCTCAATGAACTTTTAAAGCTCACTGAGGAAAGGATCCTATTTGTTCACTCCTGTATTCCCAGTGATTAGCCCCAAGCATGTCTACACACTTTAAATGAATAAAACTTCAGTTTCTACATATATTCCACTGGTCAAAAAGATGAAATTATCTTCTTTCAAAAAGGATGAAAAAGCTACTTAGCCTCAAGAAAAAAAATACCTGAGAGGCTTTAGTAAACAAATAAGAAAAAGAACATTTGTTAACTACTTAAAGACTATTACAGGAAAAAAAAAAAGTAAGAAAAGAGAAGCAGTGCTGATTTTAAGGAGATTTTGATCATTACCTTCCTTCATGGAGAGGGCCTCCAGTTTGAGGGGCAAATCTGAGGTCCCACCAGTAGTAGCTGAACTCTGGATGTCTGGTACGGCATTCCGGCGGCCTGCCCTCGCTGAAGATGCAAAATTGACGACCCCAGACTCCACATCAGTCATTGTTGATGAATCTGTCCTCATAGCAACATCTGTAAACAGAACATGCACAAGACGAAGAGGATGAGCCTATTCAGAAGAAATGCTTACCATGGTAGTGGAAAAGCAAGGCTAGAGTGAAAAGACAAAGGCTTGAGAATCTGATCATTGATCACAACGTTCATCTTTGTCTACTGTTGTGTTCCCGAAGCTCCCATTTGTACATGCTCCGAATAGAGCAGAAATCTTCAGTGTGAGCTAAACTGCTATAAATAACCCCTGAGCCGAGTGAGCCACTTGGATGCTTACCGGCACAGTAATCCCCTGCCTTTTGTTCTGCTTTTCTATGGATGGATCAGCCAAACTAGGGCTTGGAAGGAAAAGAACATTGACTTGTTTGACCACTCCTGGAGAGATGCTGCCTGCCAGTATTTGCTTATGGTGTTATTTATGCTGAAACCAAATCACTATAATTTGTAGAAACCCAACAAGACACACTCTGTTCCTACCCTTTAGAAATTAGAAATTCAACTTTATTATGTCAAAGACATTTTTCCCCAAAAAGAGCTGTGTATTTCCACCTGTTCTGATCTAAAACCCAACTTTCAAAAGATTCAAGTTTATGTTAGGGAAAGTAGGTCCTATTTTACCTTGTCTTGCTTTCAAGTGGGCAAGGTAATTACCAGTGCTTTCTTAAGCATCCTTTATCATCCTATCACTTGTACCCCTCTAATAAAGAATTCTGAAGAGATTATTCACTGTACAGGGAGGAAGGTAATAGTTGTTGCCTATTCTAAAGCTGACTCTGTTCTTTGTGTATATAAGTGTGTGTATGTGTGTGTGTATGTGTGTGTGTGTGTGAGAGAGAACAAGAGGCATGCTTGACAAGGCCTTGCCATGTTGCAGTCTTTCTGTCTCAGTCTTCCAGTTAGCTAAGATTATAGGCATGCCCTACCATACCTGGCCTTTTAGGTTGGTCCAGGCACCAAACCTTGAACTCTCATGCAATCTCAGCATTGCACAGTGGCACCTTACCACATGTACCATTGAGGCTGGGCTTTATATTATGTTCTCTAATGAATCTTTCTTAACAAGTCAGCACTGAATAGTATCTTAAAAGAAGCAGCAGCAACAGCAACAGTGGCAATAAACATTTACTGAGAAGCTATTGACTGCCAGGATCTCAGCAAGGCATTGAGAATACAGTGGTATAACAGATAGCATCTTCCAAAAGTTCATGGCAAATGCACATTAAGATAATCCATACATAGATTTCAAAATTTTTCATACTGAAAGAGACTCAGACTTTATTTGTACTTTTCCACAAATTGTTTGAAGTCACTTCATTTCCTCTCCATCTTTTTTTTTCAGAGAGATTTTTTGCTATAGTGTGTGTGTACTTGCTAGAGAGACAGAGAGATTAAAAAAAACACACACACACAAGTGAGAAATCACCCTCTTGAGGGGTTGGCCACACTGCAATTCCTTCTCTTCCATTCTCCTCTTGGGATCTTGTGCACACACACACACACATACTCACCTGGTGCAGCTTTTAAGCTACCCGGTCTGGGTCTAGAACCATGATTGACTACATGGGAGTCCAATGACATAACCATTACACCCTCTGCTAGTCCCACTCTCCATCTTTATGAAACTTGTACTCCCCAAGGGAGATAGAAGGTATGCATGCAAAGACAGAATCATAACACAGAATGTGCTAAGTGATAACCAAGGAATGACGATAACTATCTGTGGCACTTACTAGGGCTGAAAGATATGAACCCTGCCTTTCAAACCCTGGCTTCCAAACCAAATTTTCCATATTAGTGGAAAGAAACACTTTTCAGTTAAGGAAATGCTAGAAGTGAAATGAAATAGTCACAAAACATGGCGCATTGTGTATTAGAGACACAACTCCTGTGAGCTATAGAACCCAAAAAATGTCTATTGAGCTTCACATCATCCTCAAGAGTCCAGGAATAATTTGTGTTGCTGAAGAATGAAAGCCTTCTGTTACTTCCACATATTCTTACCTTTCCCGGGATCATGGGAAATTTGAGACTCAAACTAGGTTTTCAGACACAATTTTGGAATCTATTACACTTTGAACTATTTGAGACTTGCCAACTGTCTAGATTTTACAGAGACCTTGAAGTAATAGAAAAAGAGAAGATGGAACTTTTTACAGTAAAGAGTTGTGTTATCTTCCTAATAGAAAAAGCTCTGGATTATTAGGTAAAAAGAATTTGCTTAATTGCAGACTTCTTAGGGGATATTGGTCAACCCATCTAATTTATCCGAGTCATAGTTACTGTATGTAATGGATGTAACAATTATCCTTCTGGTTCACAGGATTCTTGTGAAGAGAAAATGAGATAAAGAGATATAAAAATTCTTTGTAACTATTAATATAAAGCATATACTTGATTGCAGCATCATTATTCACATATCACTAAGTTTTCTTTATTCTATCACTTTTCTATGTATTCATTTTTATACTAATAAGAAGTATCTTCCTCCTGGAATACTTCTTGTATTTTCTAAGAGGAAAATCAGAATTTACTCAATATTACATGAACATTTTGTATTTATTATCTCATTTAAATCTCTCCAAAATCTTATTAGGTAGTGCACTGTGACTGTCACTCTGTGAATGTGGATACTAGGACACAGAGAGGTTAAGTGACTCATTTAAAGTTGCACAGCTGCTAAGCCAGCACTCAGAGATGCAAATCCAGAGACCAGCAGTTAGTGTAATGGCTACGTCACTGGACTCCCATGTAGTCAACCATGGTTCGCATCCTGGACCCGGTGGGTTAAAATTCACACTGGGCACATGTGTGTGCATGCCCAAGATCCCGAAAGGAGAACGGAGGAGAAGGGATTGCAGTGTGGCCATCTACCCTGGGGGATGATTTCTCACTTTCTGTCTCTGTGTCTCTCTCTGTCTGTCTGGCGAGCGCACGCACCCTACAGCAAAAATCTCTCCAAAAAAAAAAAAAAAGAGATGCAAATCCGGTTTCAGCTCATTCAAACAAACAAAAAATAGAAAGACAAAAAGAAAGGAAAAGAAAACATGACATGTACTACCATAAAATTATCTTTCTATATCCTTGTGATAGCTACCAAAAGCTACTTTAAAGTCTTCCTTTACTAAATTTTAAATAGAAAAAATACATAGTATATAAAATGAGCCATGTATACTATGTGTTATTCATAATGTCCTTTCCCAACTCATACTCAGCACCATATTTCTTTCAGAACCTCACACCGATGCTATAACCAGGATGCTATATTCCACCACAGGTAGACCAGATGGCTTACCCAGTCCAGCCACACAGGTCTGTGAGAAGATGCAACTTTTTACAGTAAAAAGTTGCCTTATCTTCCTAATTGAGTATATCAGCAGCTTTTCGAAATCACTAGCAGGAGCATCTGAAAACAGAGGATGATTCTTCACTAAGCTCTTAATTCCCTGTAAGGACATTCATTGCAGCATTGGGAATAATCTGAAAGCTCATCAGAAAAAGACTGAATAAACTGTGTATGTTATGAAATATTGTACAGCTATTTTTAAAAATTTGTTAGAGTCAGTATACATCTATGAATATGTGGTTTTTGACACATTGAATAATAAAGAAAATATTAAAATAATATTTACAGTGCAGGGGATGGAAGGAAAGGGGAAAATTAATGAATAAAGTGTGACCTCAACTTTGTACAAAGAAAAAAATCTTAGTTTGGAATGGAAGGGAGAATAAGAAGAGCATGAATTTGGAGGAGGGTAATTCTTCAGATATTTTTACTTATAATAATGAGCATATAGTACCTTTGTAATGGAAAAGACTTGAAACAGTTACCTAGAAAATATTATAAATAAAAATACATTCTAGCATAGTAAAGCTCTAAATGCTACATTTTGACAATTTAAACAACATCATATGTTTAAGTGAAAGCCACTCTCTTCCTCAAATGGCCATCTTATTTGTCTATTATTTTCCAATACAGCATTGATAGCATATACTTGATTGTTTAAGAGATGATAGGAAGTGAAGACATTTCTCTTTTCAAATGTTTTGTCATTTTAAAAAAATGTATAACCCATAAAAAGATGAGGAAACATGACTAAGAAAAGTGAAACAGAGATAACCTTGCAGTTTCTTCTAATTTGGGGGGCTTAAAAAGATAATTATGTTATGTTTGCTAACCAAGATGACTGACTCATTAGCATCAGTTACTGTTTTTTCTACAGAGTTAGCAGAGGAATCAGGATGATTTCATCTTTGTCATCTGTGGCTGCTTATAGGAGCTGGAACTATTTGGACATTTCACAGAAGTCCTGGCGTTCCTACAGCAAGGTAATGCAATTGACATTGCCTGGAACACAGTTCTTTCTCTGTTGAAAATACAGTTTTCAGGATGCCTTAACAAAAGACCATTACTTAGCCATATATACACACATGCCAGCATTTCTGCAGTCTCCAAAATACTGAAAATGGAAGAGGACTAGCTAAAGGGGGCACTAGAAGCATATTTTAAAAACAGAGAACCACTAGTGAGCTCAAAAGAACCTTCTAAGAAGAAAGTACATTAGCATCTTATTGGCATAATATATTAGGTCATCAGGAAAGTCATGATATATTTTTCTGTTTTTCTATTCAAAAGTGATTTGCGACTTTCCCGACGACCCATACTAAGTTACCCTATTTTAGTACAGTATGTAACATTGTATTCGGGAGTAAACTCATATTTTTCTATTACTTTATCTTAAAGATTGTGGGAATCTCTCGTTCCTTCTTGTAATCTCTGTCCCTTCCAACTGAGGTGGTCCAGCCTCCTAGCTCACACACACTATTTCCTCAAACTTCCTTACTTTAAGCCAAGACTACAAAGAGGTTAATACTTTTTTACTCATCTTTGGATCCATATCACTCAGCCCTTCTCCCACAGTGAAACCACTACTCATTCTATATGTGAGATGTCAAGTAAGCTTCTTACCCATTAAATTATTGAGTTGTCAAAAGAGTCATGATGCATTTTTGCAGAGAAAGTT